TCCTTAATGTTATCGATCCGTTTGATTTTAATCCCTCAGTCGTTAACTCCCGTTCAATTTTAGTCCTTCAATCATGTTAGGAACTTAAACAAAAGGGGTTAATGAAAATTAATTGCAAAGGGGCTTAAACCTGACGGACCGATAATGTAAGGGACTATTTACCCTTAATTTTTAAATTGATGACGAAAATTGGTCAGACCCTAAACAAAAGGGACTATCCACATAATTTACCCTAAATTTTTTGGACTTTGAATTTTTTAATTTGTTAAAGAAATAGATAAAATAAATAGGTATAGATAAAATTGATGCATTGAGAACAGATAAATCTCAAAATTAAAGTGTTTTGGATATAATATTATTTGATTTCTCGTAAAAATAGTTGGGTGATCAAAACAAAACAGTGATAATTAGAGTATTAAACGTGTCACTATAAAATATAATTTTACCTTATATTTAGGAATAATTACAATAATACCCCTCTCTATATATTTTTTTCAATTAAGTCATTGTTTTTATTGAATAAAAATATTTTTTATTTCGGGTCAGATTTCTAAGTCATATATTCGGGTCGGGTCGGGTGAAACCTTATTTTGATCGGATCGGGTCTCGGGTGGAGGCTCCTTTATTCTCGGGTCAGGTCGGGGTCAGGTCGGGTGGACCAAAAACCTAACCCATGCCCATCCCTAGTTGTAACAAACTTTTAGGAAATTTTCATGAGTCCATTATGCACTTATTTTTGTTGCTCCACTACAATTTGTGTATATTGATTTGTATTGTTAAGTGTAATGATGTCAAATTTTGAAATTTAACATTTATAATGCGGATGTTATGTTGTTTTGAGTACAAAATATGTTTCACAATTGATTTATGGATTTTTTTTGACGTAAAAGTGCATCTCGACTACGAAAGACCTAAGATCTAGAGACTCTTTGCACTTCGATACGTCTAGTGTCTTTTAAAATTAAGATGTCTGTTGTTAATGATAGAGTGATTTGTTTGTAATAATATTTTAATTAATTTATTTGTAAGTTTTAGGGGAAAAAGGACATGTTTGTTACCAGACCTATAATAAGGTGACCTTGGATGTAATTTATCCTTAATGTTATCAAAACGTTTTCTTATGTTCCCATTTCCCTTTTTCTTTTCCCTTCAATACAGCAAAAATATATAAGAAAATAGCAACGTAAAAACAGCTAAAAAGAAAGAAAGAGAAAAGAAAAACAAAGTAACAGCCGAAAAAAACAAATTTCCACAGCAAAGCAGAAGAGACCAGATTTTTCTTTGTTTTTTCAGTTGCCTTCCTCCTCCAGGTAAGAATTCTCTCTCTCTCTCTCTCTCTCCCTTTATTTTTAATGAATATTTGAATTATTGCCTCCTTTTTTGGTTTGATTTTAATGAAAAATAATAATATTTATGGCGGCTTTCAGTTTTTTTTTTGTAATACTTGTGGATTTTCTTTGATTTTAATGCTCAAAGAATCCTGATTTGAATGGTTGGAAATCATCCGTTTTCTCTCTTGAAGGAAAAAAATCAAAATTTAAGAAAAGCTAACGGTAATTATTTTTTGGGTCTGGTTTTTGGTGAAGTTGATGATTTGTTTTTTTTTTCAATGTATGCTTTAATATGTTGCTTTTTATGATCTGGGTTCTCTTTATTTTCTAAATTTTTCTATGGTATGAGATCCGTCGGTGATTTGTTTCCCTTTAAAGATTCGGATTTTGATTTGCATGGAGCCTAAGGAAGAAGCAAAGGAGCTGCAGAATCTTTGAATTCATGATTTTGGGGTTTAGTTTTGAATCGAAGAAGATTGATATTTATCCGGTCGATTAGGGATTCATTGTTGGGTGTTTTTCCTCTTTTTTTTTCGGGGTGCGAGGATAGATGGTAACGGGAGGGAAGGTTGGTCATAGAAGCAATTTTAAGAAAAGGGGTAGATCGAAGGAGGAGGATTCGGATGGTTCGGATGAAGATTACGTAGTTTCCGATGAGGGGAATGAAGAATCTGAAGATGATGTGGTAGAGTATTGTTCTTCCTCATATGAATGTGCATCGGAAGAGAGTTACGACGACGAGGAAGAGAAAGTGATGAGGAAGGCTGATAGGTTGAAAGCTAAACAGATGCGTCCGGCAAGGAAGAGGAAGATTGTAGAGAGGAAACCGATAAAGCAGAGAGGTGTTTCGGATGAAGAAGATGATGAAGATTATGAAGTGGAGGAAGAAGATGATGAAGAGGAATATGAGGTGGAGAAGGAGGAGGAGGGGGAAGAAGAAGATGAGGAGGAATATGATGACGAGGAAAACGATGTTGAATTCACTTTGGATGAAGAAGATTGTTTTGATGAGGAAGAGGAATTGACTGTGACAAAGAAGAAAAACAATATGAAAGTTCGTAAGAAAGGTTTGCGGAAAAAGGGTCATTCCAAACAAAGGAAAAAGACGAAGAAATCTGCAGTTTCTAAGAAGCTTTCAAGAAACCGGGGGAGGAAGAAACGTTTGTTGAAAAGGAAAAGGAGGGTCGAGGAAGAAGATGATGAGTATTGTGATTTTATAGACACACTTCGGTTGTGAGAAAAAAGAGCAAAACAAATGGAGGACGCAGAAACAAGGCGTATGTTGTACCGTCTGATTCAGATTTTGCATTGTCGGGGGCATCTGACTATGAGTACACCATCTCAGAGGAAGAGAGAGAGCAAGGTAAAGAAACGAGCCGGTTGTGTGGAAGTTTGAAAACTAGTTTGAGGAGTTCATCATCCTCTAAGATAATTGAGGAGGTTGAGGAGCTAGGCCAGCATAAGAAACCTCCAGGAAGAAAGGGTAAGGAGAAGGTAGAAGAAAAGAAGGCTGAAGTAATAAAGTCAGTTTGTGGCATTTGTCTCTCTGAGGAAGATAAGCGAAGATTTAGGGGTACATTGAACTGCTGCAATCATTATTTTTGTTTCACCTGCATTATGGCATGGTCCAAAGTGGAATCTCGTTGCCCATTGTGCAAGCAAAGGTTTGAAACAATCAGTAAGCCAACTAGGTCAATGGCAGGGGTTGATTTGAAAGAGGTGGTGATCCAAGTCCCCAAGTGTGATCAGGTATGTTATATTTCTCATAATAATTTTCTTTGTTTTGTTTATTACTAGCGGTTTGAAAGGACATGTTGGTCTTATGCAGGTCTACCAACCGTCTGAGGAAGAACTCAGAAGCTATCTAGATCCATATGAGAACGTCTTTTGTTCTGAATGCCACCAAGGTGGGGATGATGAACTGATGTTACTGTGTGATCTTTGTGATTCATCAGCACACACCTATTGTGTTGGTCTGGGGCGGGAAGTACCTGATGGTAATTGGTACTGTGATGGTTGCAGGCCTGTAGCTCTTGGTTCCTCTGGTTCCCAAGTTCAAGATTCTTTGCCTGACCAAAGAACAAACAATTTATACAACAGATTCTCCCCCGTTGTAATTGTAGGAGAAAGTTTAGACTCCAACGTAGTGCCTTCACCTCGTATGCCTTTAACTCCTGGTTTTGTGGGTATTTCATCTCCTAGATTTCCTAGTGTAGATGTTACAGCTGGTTCTCCAGTATCTGGAGCTGGAGCACCGACTCTGACGGGTAGGCGATGGTTGCACCGCCAGATTCAAAATCTCCGTTCGATCAATAGGATGAATCTTATGGCTGGTAGGGGCGATGGAATACCAGCTGTTAATACGGACATTGATTTTGTAAATTCTCACATAGATCAGAGTAGGGGACCAACAGTTCAACAAGCTAGGATACAAGATGTTGGTACTCAACCACAAATAGTGTTTGAGGAGAGGTCACAGGATTATCCCTCTTCTTCACTGCAAAGTAGGGGCTTCTTTTCTTCAAGGTTGGATCACTTAAGAAGGCAAGGAGTTCAAGATTTGACGACCCCTTCGTTAAGTACACCTGTCAATTTGACTTTGTGGCCTGAACTTGCTGGTATGAGTTCAAATGAGCAACCCGGAATAGCAGCAATGAATCAAATATTAGGCCTAGTACTCGTGATTTGCCTTTTTCTGTTAGAGATGAGGATAATGTTTCAGTGGCCAAGGAACAATTGCATGCAATGGTTAGAAGCCATTTGAAAGCCTTTTCCAATGGTATCGATTTAGGTAAGTCGAGCTCCGTCTTGAAACTATTGTTTGTGAATGATTTTTGCAAGTGACTTTAGTAATTGAGTCTATCTTTTGTGTTTTTGGAGACTTTTCAAAGCCTTCTATATGTATATGCAGACAATGGTACTCTCAAGGACATAACAACCAGTTCCATGCATACCTTACTGGCTGCTTGTGGGCTTGAGCATAGGAGTAGCGAGGTTCAAATCGTGCCTCCGTCATCAATTTGTGTGCACATTGAAAGAGTGGCAGCTGGACAGGCAAGCTTAATGAAAGGTTGTTGCTTAACTTGTTTCGATTCTTTTGTAAAAGATGTAGTGAAGAGGATCATGGATGCAAGATCCCGACGGTGGTTAAGTTTAGGTCTTTAGATCTTTGATGTGGTAAATGTATCTCTCTGCGTATCTTTTCGAGTAGGACTTAGAAGCAAATTAAAAATTCCAACATTTTTTCAGTTGATTTATACTTACAATTCACTGACATTGAGCCCGAAATGTGCTCTTTTCTCATTTGATCGATCACTATAATAGATTGTTTTGAAGGGCAAAGTCATTTTCAGTATTGCATGCTACTTGCATTTAGTGCTTATCATCTCCTCTGAAAAAGAAGGCGTGGGTTATGTATACCCTTTCGATTTTGCATCTAGTTTGTGCAGGTAAGTAAACCAGTCATGCTACAGCTCGGAGCGCCATTTATGCACACCAATTTACGTCCGAAAATTCGTGCAATTGTTAGTCGACAAAAAATGATATACACAAAATGAGGGGCGCTTGATTTTGCATGTTACTTGAAAATAACAAACCATTCTAGAATTTAAATTTAATTTTCTTATTTATCAAATATGATCATGACCTGAAATTGAAAAGATGAAGCCCTAATAAACTAAAGAGTCCACACATGTATTACACTCATCCCTACACCTTATTCCAACATCTTAAGACATCGACATATTCAGCACAAACAGCACAACAACCCCGTTGAGCTTAGCCCTCTTCGCCGTCAACTGTGTTGACGGCCGTTGGGGGTTCAGGTTCACAATTGCAGCCAACCATATCCTTATGGCATCATAAGATATCATCGAGAATTGTGGATAACCGCAGCCCTTGAACGAATTCACATTGTTTTGCCTTCTCTTCCTGATCCTTGACTGAAAGAGGGGTTGACTGCACATTTCTGTTATCAAAGCCAAATATTAGAAGAGAAAGCTGATAAAAGCTTTAGGAAAAGTTCATTGCCAGAGGACAAATCCAATACTAGATCATCATCGGTCTCATTGGAATAAGGTCGCGGTACCGAAGCAGATGAGAAAGAATAAACACAAACTGAAAACTGAGACACTCAGCCTGATGACTAATTATTAAACCGTTCATTCATATTAGTGAATATGGCAAGGCATTTGACATTAGCATAGAGTTTTATAGCCTGCTCCAACTATCTTGCTTGAAAACCCGACCAATATGCGGAACTTTTGAAGAGAGGAAAATATGTCAGAAAATAAAGACAGTGAGATGGAGTCCTTGACTAAAGATACAAGCACATGACATAGTGCTGAACATCTATTTCTAATTAATATTAATAAAATAAAGTCATTGCATGCTAATAAATTAAATGTATGTTGAATTCGCCTCCTTTTCTCAAATAATGGCATGATAGATGGCTTATCATTGAGAAACAAAAAGGGCAACCAGATTTGAAACAAGATTCGCTACTTTCTCCAGATAGAAAGAACAGTCAGATTTTAAACACACTACAACTTACCTCTCTGACTTATTAATATCTGAACTTTTCTTAGCTGTGCTTGTTTCGCTAGAAAACTGAGGCTGAACACTAACACGATCATCAACCATGGGCAAAATAAACGAAGACAACAGTGGATCAGGTGCGGAGTTGGATGAGGGTGCTATACAAGAAGAATACCCAAAGAGGGACTGCATGTTTCCTTCTCGCGGCTCCTTCCTCAGAAGAGAAAGTGTTGAATGAGATCCACTTCTTCGCGACTTCCGTTTGCGCTGCATGTAACCACTCGTTAAGGAAACGAAGATATATTAATCAAGTCCTAACAATGATGCAACCATCATACAACAAAGGCCACAAATAAAGGTAGGAATGCTGCAACTGCTCCATTATAGTGGGATGGGGGCAGAGGAGTCTTCTTGCATACTGATTCAATTGTAAATCGATAAAAGGAACAAAAGTGATAGATTTTCTAGTACGATAGAGATCCAACAGTAAAATCCTACAAAATTTAGCAGACTCCAATATGATTTCAAGGTTGATGTCACACAAAAAAGCATGGGCTTTAAACAATTTAACTATGAATTCACAAGATATTTCAACATAAACATTAGTAACTTAATACGCAAGGATACCTTGAATATATTTCCATGTTGTAAGGTTATATGTGCAACCATATCTACTCCCACCCTCAATGCACAGACAGGACATACCTGCAAATAGAAACAACCCATCAATCCATCATAAACAGAGTTTAGATTCGGTAAACACCTTCCCAATTATAGTAAAACACTCTCACACACCGAGCAACATAAGAATCTACAAACAATAACTATAAAAATCCTTTACATCAAACTTACATATAGGAGACCAATCTACTATTTGTCCAGCCAGGTCAGTATTAATATAAAATGTGTAAATCAACAAGGGAGCCAATTTTTCAAGTTAGCCGAATTGGAGCTTGTAGTCCAAAACTAGTTCATATTATAACTATTACAATAGCCATTTAAGTAACATAGTAACTTCTGAAGCAGAAGCTTAAAACTTCAACAACTTGGGTCCATAACAAACAACTATAACTATTACAATAGCCATTTAAGTAACATAGTAACTTCTGAAGCAGAAGCTTAAAACTTCAACAACTTGGGTCCATAACAAACAACTCCCTTTCCAATTCCTTTTAATCTGACTGATAATAATTCACAGCTTTAGTTAAGTAAGCTTTGAATAACTCTTAACTAGAAGTACCAACAAGATAAACTTTCTTATAAGTTGCAACTAACAAAATTAAAGGAAAAAAAGAAAAAGAGGATTGAGAAATACCCCATTTTTCCAAATATTAAATCAACTCTTTTAGAAGGCAAAAAATAATATACTAAAAAGGCTAATATTTTCTTAAAGGGTTTCCAAGTTTCTTTTTTAAAAAACGGGTTTTAAGGATTACCAGATCGTGATTGAAGAGCTGATTGATGATACCTCCAAGTAGTTGAAGAAAGACAAGCAGTGAATGAATCAACATCCATTTTTAAATCAGTTAATTTTCAACCCAGAGATTAAGAAAAAGGAAATATTTAATTTCTGGGGTTAAAACACAAATCCTTTTTACTCTGATTGGTTTTGTGAAGTTCAATTAACAAAAATCCAAGAAACTAGAAAGGTGGTAAGCTAGGTCTTTAGTGTTTGATATATGAGAAAGATAAACAGCTGCTTTTTCCCCTCTTCAGAGGTGAATTACGTGGAGATGGAAAAAGCTAGCGTTTGATAAATCTTAATTTATCGGTAAGCTATTAAAATTAAAAAATAATTTTTTTTATTATAATATGTTATTTTGTTGAGTCTTTCGATTATTAAAAGTTATAAAATGATCATTCGATTATTCATATGTTCTAATATTGTTTTTTCCATTAAAAAATTAATGGTCGTCTGAATTAGACGTTAACTTGTTAACAGTGATATGATAAAATTATATTTTAATGATATCTACTAGCATTGTCGTTATTTTCAAGTATTGACTTGACAACGTAATGTTTCAAGAACTGACTCAACGACATAATATAAAGAGAGAGTCAATTCACAAAATACAAATCAAACAGTTTTGGGATAAAATTTTATGGTATCCCAATCAACATGTTAACGTTCATCTCAGACGATTGTCAATTTTTTAACGGAAAATGATGAGATTGAAACATATGAATAGTCGGATGATTATTCTGTAATTTTTAATAGTCGAGAGATTAAGCAAAGAATTATTTTATAATTGATGTATCATTTTGTAATTTTTAATAATCGATGACTCAACAAAACATCACTTTATAATCAGAAGATCATTTGTGTACTTTAGCCTAATTTATTTAGGCTAAATTACACGTTAAAAACTTAATGACACAGATCACGTGGAATTTACATTACAAGATGTGTGAAATGTCGAGAAAAAAAAAATAATTCACGTCATCGATGTTGTTAAGTTTTTAACGATAATATACAAAATTAAAACTTAAATTAAAAAAATTCTAAAAGGTCCTTTTTTCGTTGAACATCAGTAGATCATGAAATGTTGGTGAATTGAAGACATATTCAATTTCTCAAAATTTCTATAGGGATTAATGATTCTCTATCATCCAAATTTTGAACTAAAAAAGTGATTAATATCACTAATAAATCAAAGTTGTAATTTAGAGCCTAATAATCTAATATAAATTCTCAAAAAAAAAAAAAAAACTCCATGCTAACCTTACCATTTCTTCGCCGGGACGTGACTCGGCCGTTGTTCAACTGTCTCCTTATCGGTGAATCGCCGGCCTCCAGTCACGTGGCCGCATACCTCATTTTTGCTCCGCCATGAGAATTACGTCAAATTTAGATCTCTAAATTCTAAATCTGAATCTGTATTTCGATTTAAGCATTTTTGGATTATATCTAAGTTCTGTTTTTAGAGAGCAATGGCGACGAGGAACCGGTCGTGGTTATTCAATAAATATAGGGATGCGTTGAAGGGCGCTAGAGCTCCGACGAGCTCGTCGGTGGCAGCGAAGGCGATGCTGAGGCCGAGCTCCGGCGGAGCGCCCGCGATTGAGATGGCTAGTACTTCGTTGATCCATTCAAAGCGGTCTTATATTGCTCTAAGTACCGATGATCCTGGAAACTCGAGGTAATATTGCATTTCATACTGTTGTTATTGATCATATTTATTTTCCTGTTAATTTGTTACAATAAGACGAAGAATCCAAGATAATGATCAAATCTTTCTTCTTCTTTTAATTATGCTTGAACTTGTTCAGATATAAATTAGCTAGCTTAATGGTCATAAATTATTAGTAGGACAATAAAGGATCGTCTACGTTTTGCAGTAAGGGTACGGCCCCCATCGGTCTACCACCGTCTTGGGTAGATGTTTCTGGAGAAGTAGCTGCTAATGTGCAACGTGCGCGGGCTAAAATGGCCGAGTTAGGCAAGGCTCATGCAAAGGCATTAATGCCTTCATTTGGTGATGGTAAAGAAGATCAACGCAATATTGAAAATCTTACTAGTGAGATAACTAATCTGTTGAAGAGATCAGAGAAGAGATTACAGAAACTCTCTGCTACTGGACCTTCTGAGGATTCAAATGTTAGGAAAAATGTTCAGGTAAGGCTTAGTGGCTGTCAAATTCTTTTGTGAAACTCTATGTTCATGTCAAGAAATGTAAATCATTAGGCAAACATTCGTATGTCACTTATTCATTTAGCATGGCGATTCTTTCTTTCTGCTTGGCGATTTGTCTATTGCCTATTGGCCTAAATTTTACAAGTAGCAGGTTTTGGAGAGGATGATATTAACATGATGCAGTATCAAGTGCTCCCTCTCTGTCGTCTGTGTTGTTGGAATGTGAAAGATAGTAGTGTCTGACATCTGGTGTTATTGTTTGATTCTCCATGGACTCTGACATTTTACCTCAGTTGTTAATCTCTCAAAGATGTGCTATTCTGGGTTGTACTTTTGTTTTTATTTATTTCTATTGCTTTTCTTCTTTTTGGCAGCGTCAACTTGCCACTGACCTTCAGAACCTTTCAATGGAGCTCCGGAAGAAACAATCAACTTATTTGAAGCGCCTCAGGCAGCAGATGGAGGTAATGCAAGGAACTTTCCTCTTGGCAATACAACATGTTATCGTATTTTATTGCATTCTGAATTCTAACTAGTCGAACAACTCAAACTTATTGCTTGATGTTTTCAGTGTAATTAAATTATTGGTTTCTTGTATATGATCAGGAAGGAGCTGATATGGAGATGAATCTAAATGGGAATAGACCTAAAGAAGAAGATGATGATTTGGATGATATGGTATTTCTTTAAACCATCTCCTGTTCATGTTTCCATTTTATTATCTATCCTTACTCATTTCAGCAAAGATGAGTTTTAGGGTGCTAAGCTCAAATATCATGTTAGGATCTTGGAGCTCAAATATTAGGTCTTATATTTGATTTCAGTTAGGTGTCAGATTCTAATCTTTGACAGTGATGTTATTTAGATTTTTAATGAGCATCAAATGGCAAAGCTAAAACAAAGTGAGGCGTATACAGTTGAGAGGGAAAGGGAGATCCAACAGGCAAGTAGTGCATTACAAACAATACCATTCTTATCTGAGCTGCTTTCATAGCTATCAGGTTCTATTTATTTATATGTGCTTAAATTCTTTTTTGTAGGTTGTGGAATCAGTAAATGAGCTTGCTCAGATCATGAAGGATCTGTCAGTTCTCGTGATTGATCAAGTATGAATCCATCATCTCTTGGTAATATGTTCCGAACTTTTCCAGTATCACTAAATGCAATTCTGTCTTCCAACAGGGCACCATTATCGATCGGATAGACTACAACATTCAGAATGTTGCAACTACAGTTGAAGAAGGCCTCAAACAGCTGCAGAAGGTCTTTTCTCTTTTGTCCAAATATCGATCCGAATTCAGCTGTTTCTCGTGACTTTCTCATTCTTGTATGGATTGGACTTCGCAGGCAGAGAGAACACAGAAACAAGGAGGAATGGTGATGTGTGCTTCGGTACTTGTTATCATGTGCTTTGTCATGCTAGTCCTCTTAATCCTCAAGGAGATAATCTTTTGATATGCAAGCATGGCTTTTCATGACCATGTCCATTTTGACCAGCAGTGTGAGCCGTTGACACGACATATCCAAAGTCGACATTTTCCTCGGCCAGCTCAAGAATGTGGGGAAGAGATGTCCCAACATCTGTGTAGAGCTTATATGATGGATTCTTTTTCCTTGAAGCTAAGAGCTGTATTCTTTTGGGAGTTTTCTAGCTAGTTTCCCATATGAGATTGATTTACTTGTATCAAATTCTATTGATTTGACTAAGAAGATTACATATTTATATAAGAATCATAGATATATTTCCCCCTCAAATTTTATACCATAAGGTTGACAATAGATTATAGGGATTGGAAGTCCGGAGCACGGGATCAATTATAACTGTTACTTTGTTAAGAGATGTATATAATACTTAATAAGCTTAAGGCATCTGCTTTCGTAGCTCAGTTGGTTAGAGCACCCGTTTAGTAAGCGGGAGGTCTTGAGTTCGACTCTCAACGAAAGCAGGTCAATTTTTTTCCCATCTTACACCATTGGACAATGCCTTTAATATCGTAACTCTCTCTATGTTGGTTAGTCAAAGATGAAAAGCAAGCACAATAATATATGAAGCCAAGACAAATGTCTTTGCTCTCATCACATGTGATCAGCCGACCAATCCCAGGGCGAGAGGATGGCTAGAATGAAAAGTGTGCTGTACCTCGTATGGCAATTTAGCACATTTTTCACGTCGGTAAAAGTCATGACAACAGTAGTAAAATGTGTGCTTCAGTACTTGTTATTATGTGCTTTGTCATGCTAGTCCTCAAGGAGATAATCTTTTGAAATGGAAGCATGGTTTTTCATGGCATGTCCATTTTAACCGCGTGTGAGCTGGTGCTACGACATGTTTAGAGTCCACATTTCTTTGGCAAGCTTAAGAATGTGGAGGAAAAGATGTCCTAACATCCGTATAGAACTTCAATATTAACCATCTTACACCATTGGACAATGCCACTATGTTTTGCAGCTTGTAAAGAAAGCGTTTCTTATTTGATGCTTTCAATGGCTTCGAACTACACCTTGTAACTTCAACAACGTATGGATTCATTGTTAATCGTCTTAAACCATTTGTCGATGTATTTTATCTGGTAACCCTCTCTATGTTTTGCAGCATGTAATGCTCTTATTTGATGCTTTCATCGGCTTTCAAATACACCTTGCAACTTTAACAGTGTATGGATTGAAATAAGATCGAGAACGCACCGGATGAAGCAGATGGTGTCTGTTCAGGCCTTGAACTCAAAAATGATTGAGCACTTTTGTCGGACTCTTCTCTAGTACAATCTTAGGGGTCAGGCTCACTGCACAACCATGCTTTAGCACCGCTGTGGTACCGGACCTGAAGCTGAAAGCAAATTGCAAAACTGCGTGGATGCTTCAAGATGCAAATTCTTATCATCAGTTCAGTTCAGACACCGGCAACCATGGCAGGAAGATTTTCCAGCTGCGGTGAAGGAGTTAAACACGGTAAGAATGATAAGAACAAATAAGCAGGAGGAGGTATGCGAATCATAGAAGTAGTTGGTCAAAGATTAGAAGTAAATAGGTGAATGATAGAATGGTAGAAGTAGTTGTTAGTCAACAATGAAAAGCAAGGTGGGTGTTCAACGTTTGCCTCTAGTTACTTTCAAAGATGATTAGGCTATGTTTCCTCTACAAGAAGAGCGTATGAAAGGAGCCTGTGGTTGTATTTCTTCTCATTGTCGGTCGCTTTAAGTAATTAGCACATATTGGATGAAAGTTAAGGTGACAATGTCCACAGTTACATGAGATATGTAAATGACTTCAAAGGACAAAGCATAACACTGTGGTTTTGAATGTATGTGGAAGAGGCGGATAACCAACATGTGTTTTGGATGCAATGAGACTTGAATCATTTGTGGTAACCTAAGGCAAGATTCATGAAGAATAAAATTGCAGAGTCCGTCGGGGAAAAAATAGGGTCATGACAATAGTCGAGGACAAGCTTATGCGGGTGGAAACAGTGCAACTCGATTACTCTATCTCGCTCTTTTTCTGGCAAAACTCCGGTGTTATATGAGTTATTAGAGCAGCAAATTTCACGTCCACTCACCACATGTTATGAGTCAACAAATCACAGGGCGATATGAAGTATAGAGGTTAAGAGGATGGCTAAGGGTGTTGTATCTCGTTTGACAATTTAGCACATTTTTCATGTAGGTAAAAGTCGTGGCATGTTTTACACAAGTAATTAATTACCAGACGACAACCATAGCAAAATGTGTGCTTCGTCAATACCTGTTATCATGTGCTTTGCCATGCTAGTCCTCTTAATCCTCAGAGATCTTTTTATATGGAAGCATGACTTTTCTTGATCATGTCCATTCTGACCCGCGGTGGGAGCCGGTGACACGACATGTCCAGAGTCGACATTTTCCTTGGCCAACTGAAGAATGTGGGGGAAAAGATGTCTCAACATCTGTATTGAGCTTATGATGGATTCTTTTTTCCTTGAAGCTGAGAGGTGTATTCTTTTGATTTGAGAAGAAAGATGAATTGCTTTAAGGTCTTTTGGGAGTTTTCTAGCTAGTTTCACATATGAGGAGTTGATTTACATAAACCCACTTCGTTATATAAGAACTTGTTCCGACCGTCTTTCGGGTTGGACTCAAAATTGGACTTAAACCCTGATTCGGACCCTGAAAAAAAAAGTATATATTATACGTTTTCAAAAAAGTATTTTCAAAACTATATATTATATATATTTATTTAAAAAAACAATTTCAAAATAATATATTATATATATATTTTCAAAAATATTTCAAAACTATATATATATTTTCAAAATGTTTTCAAAAACTATATATTATATATATGTTATATGTATATTAAATAAAATTCTGGACGAAAATAGGTGTCTACCTAGTTATATTTTCCCTTAAATTTGATATCATAAGATTGGCATTAGATTTTAGGTATTGGAGGCTGGGAACTTGGGATCAATTATAACTGTTATTTATTTTAAGAGAGCCATATAAGTGTTAAAAGAAAGTTGGGACATTTGCTTTCGTAGCTCAGTTGGTTAGAGTACCCGTTTAGTAAGTGGAAGGTCTTGAGTTTGACTCTCGACGAAATCAAATTTTTTTCAATGTTAATGATCTCACACCATTGGACAATGAACTCGAACATGATTGAGCACTTTGCTCGGACTCTTCTCTAGCACCTTGGTGATGAAGATCAGCGATTCACTCCTCAAATGAAATCTGCATGAAGTTGTACTTGTCAATACAATGTTAAACCTAAAAGGAATTGGATTTCACGTTGCTTTATTTGGGTCCTTCTTTGTTTACTCCATTACTCTTAGGTTTATGGCAGCAATTGATCATTCGGACAAGGTTAGTAGGGAGGAATAAACTTTCATTGTAGATGGCGGGTTAACCATTCTCTTATCATGTTTATTTATATCATTTTCATGTTTATCTTCATCATTCTCAATTATTTTGGATTTAAGATTTTATAAATCGAATATTTAAGATTAATAAGTAAAATGTATGTGTGTTCAGTCAAAGGAATCGTTGTTGTTCTTAGAAGTCACGAGTTCAAACATTAGTAACTAGAAGGGTGATTGAGCATTCATTATCTAATGGTTGAGAGTATTTAGAACATTTACTACTTTATAATCACCTATAGCTTAATAAAAAAAATTTGTGTATTTAAGTAAGAGTTAAATGATTAATCGATATATTGACCAACGTGGTTAATAAGTTACAACTTTACGTCTTAGGTTAGTTTATCTGATTGTTTCGTCATTTTTAAAATATAAGTAAAAATAAGAGACTGAGGTGGCGTTTGGTTCGCTGGAATGTTTATGAGGGAATTGGAATCTGTGAAGGAATTGGAATCTGTAGGAATTGGAATCTAATTCCATATTCTGTTTGGTTGGCAGGAAATGAAATTGGAATCCAATTCCATATTCTGTTTAGTTTGCAGACATGTCAGATGAATTTGATTTCAGTAATGTAAAATGACATAATTGCTCTTCTTGTTTTTTGATTTATTTTAGTTTATTTTACAACTTACATGTAGTAATATATTATAAAAAATTAAAAAATATTAAATTTTCATTTTATTGATTGATTATTCATTTCAATAAATTATAAAAATCATGCTAATAAACATTATAAGTTAAAATCATCGCAATCAAAATATGTTAATAAGTTACCAAAAGATAGAATAATATTTCGATACATTCCAATCGGAGTATGTTAATTAGTTACAAAAAAAATATACCAAAAACTATTTTTATTCAATATATGAATTAGAAACTCGACCCGACACGACTCAAAATAATAAAAAAAATATTTTTATTCAATAAAAACATTGACTTAATTGAAAAAAATTATATATAAAGGGATATTATTGTAATTATTCCTAAATATATAAGGTAAAATTATATATTTTTTTCGTGTCAGTCTGATTTTTTTCACCCTAAACCCGAACCCGACCCGAATATCACACTTAAAAAAACCCGACCCGACTCAACCCGAATATCAAACTTAAAAAACCTGACCTGAACAAAATAAAATTTCATCCGACCCGACCCGAATATATGAATTAGAAATCCGACCTGACCCGACCCGAAATAATAAAAAATTATTTTTATTTAATAAAAACATTGACTTAATCCGACCCGAATTATATATATTTTCGGGTCGGTCTAATTTTTTTCACCCTAAACCCGAACCCGACCTGAATATCACACTTAAAAAACCCCGACCCGACTCGACCCGAATATCACACTTAAAAAACCCGACCCGACCCGACCCGAACAAAATAAAGTTTCATCCGACCCGACCCGAATATATGAATTAGAAATCCGACCCGAAATAATAAAAAATTATTTTTATTTAATAAAAACAGTGACTTAATCCGACCCGACCCGAATTATATATATTTTCGGGTCGGTCTGGTTTTTTTCACCCTAAACCCGAACCCGACCCGACCAGAATGTCACACTTAAAAACACCCGACCCGACTCGACCCGAATATTTTCGGGTCGGTCTGGTTTTTTTCACCCTAAACCCGAACCCGACCCGACCAGAATGTCACACTTAAAAACACCCGACCCGACTCGACCCGAATATCACACTTAAAAAACCCGACCCGACCCAAACTAAATAAAGTTTCATCCGACCCGAATATATGAATTAGAAATCCAACCCGACCCGACCTGAAATAATAAAAAATTATTTTTATTTAATAAAAACAGTGACTTAATCCGATCCGACCTAAATTATATATATTTTCGGATCGGTCCCGTTTTTTTCACCCTAAACTCGAACCGACCCGAATATCACACTTAAAAAACTCGATCCGACCCGACCAAAATAAAGTTTCACCCGACCCGACCCGACCCGAATATATGAATTAGAAACCCGACCCGACCCGAAATAATAAAAAAAAATTATTCAATATATGAATAAGTTACCAAATGATTGATGAGGGTAGTATGATCAAATTTCAATTCCCTCCAACTAGGGAATTGAATTTCATCCATTTTTTGATAGAATTCACTTTCCCTCATTTGATGGAATTAAATTCCATCAGGGATTTCAATTCCCTTGAAAAACTTGAACCAAACATGGAAAAGTGGTGGAATTGGATTCCAATTCCTACTAATTCCAAAAGTTTCCATCCAACCAAACGCTACCTTATTATATATATTTTTTATATAACATTTAGAAAAGAGTTAGGTGAAGGTTTGAATGTCTCGCAACAACGTATAAGATAACTCCAATAATGACTCTAAAAAAATAGTAACAACAATGAGGACTCTCAACTCAAAGCAACTAACCTATCCGCAACCATATTATGCTCACGACATATATTATTACTTACATAAATAATTTTTTCCATATCATTATTACAGTGATCTTAAGATTGCTTTTAACATTAATAAAAAACATTGACGTTATACATTAAAATACTTGTATAAAATTACACATAAAATATCAACTTTTAGATTTTAAAACTATTAAAATTCAAATGAATTAAATATTAAGTTGAGTATATTCTCTCGCATGTGCATGCAATAAATGTCAAAATTTAACACAAAATTCTCAATTGTCGGTGACGACAGCTCACCTTTGATTTAGTCACAAACATCCGATATTTCTTATTTTTTTCATTATTTTATTATAAAATATCTTTACTTCTTTTTATTATTTTTTTATAATTAAAGACACATTTTCTATATTTTATCACGTGAATTTTTTTCGTAAAATATTTTTAATTATTTGAATCATTATTTTTATTTATTATTTTTTATAAAATTAAATATAACATTATCGTGACGGATCAAAATAACATGTATTTAAAATCATTAATATAATTTTTATTTTAAACTTTAGAATTAAATTCAAATTCATAATTTAAATTTATAAATAATTTTTTATCATTTAATTCTTATAATTGTTTCAATGGTTTAATTTTTTTTATAATTTGTTTTTCATATGATCAGATCAGTTTATATTTATATTTAATTTGAATTTATTTGATTAAAATTTTAATATTTTTCTCACGTAAGACCCAATTTTTTGTGTTAATAATTATAAAAAAATATTTTTATTATATTATAATTTATAATTATATTGATAAACTTTCATTATAATTTTTTTTCTATCTTTAATAAAATTAACTTATATTTAAAAATTTGCAATCATTATCCAAATATCACATTCAAATAGTTAGGTTTCTAATGTCACAAGGCCACTCGGTGCATGAATAAAAAACAAGGGTCGGAAGGTTCCGTGACTTCCACGTTAACTTTAAAAAACATATATAAATAATTATTTATAATAATCTCGATTGAATTTAAAAATTAATGTGAATGTATTATATAAATTAAAACTTGTAAAAGATTAAAGATTAAATAAAAAAAACAAGTTCATTAACCATAAAAGATGACGAAATTTCACAATGTTTCCTAAAAACCTAAACAACTTTTTCCCCATAAAATGAAAGAAATTAACCCTGAAATTAAGTTCACCACGCGTCAACACCGAGAACTGTACCTTCTAGCGGCATTGCCTTTAGGTGCCGTGACACGTGCTTTCTTCTTCACCGTTGGATCGGTGTTCTTGTCGTCTCCGCCTATCATATCCGCAAACATCCTTTGCAAATCCTCAAAACTATCCCCCTACGGATTTCCAAAAACGCCATCCCAAAACATCTAGGTCAGTCCATTAAAACATAATTACAAACATAACCTTGTTTAAGTAATAGATCAAGGGCTAACCTCGTCCTTCACATTATTCATCATTGATATCATCTCCTGCATGAAGTCGCAGAAGCCCTGCTTCGCAAATTTAACAAAGTTCAGGGACGAAAGTTGAAAATGAAACAGTAAAAAAACGTTTTAAATACGGAACTAATAAAAAAATTTAAAATAATTGATATTTTTCCAAGCCAATCATTTCACCGATCACAATGCAAAAACCGACACCGTTTTATATGCACATAGGCAAATATTTTTTTACGCACTTGGTCTTCTTCTTCGAAGGGATCGTAGAGACCGGCGTCGTACATTGACCGCTTGCTCTGATCGGAGAGAACTGTGAGAAATTAACGGCGGATCAAATGAGTAAAAGGATTATTTACAATTCAAAGGCGATAACTGAGAGAAAGTGATTTTTATTATTATTATTACCGGAATAAGCTTCTTGGATTTGCTGAAACCGGCGTTTGGCTTCGCCGGCAATCCCTGGGTTTGTGGCGCATCTGTCCGGATGCCATTTCTTCCAAAAAGGAAAACATAAAAAAAGAAAAAGTTAAATTTGATTCTCAAATTATAAACAAATTAAAGCAAAAAAAAATAGGGGAAGAATTTGATCACCATAGCGAGCTTTCGATAAGCAGTCCGTATATCAGAGAAAGAGGCGTCCTTACGAATTCCAAGAACGGAGTAATAACAAGATCCGCCGTGAGATCCTCCTTCCCGATCCATCTCAGCCGTCCAAAATACTTCCCTCTCAGTCGCCTCTTTCACAAAACTACAAAAAACTCATAGCCTTTCTGAACTAGAAACGAAGAACAAACGGCAAGAACAAAACTCAAATGTACTTCGAAACACTAGTTTTCGTTCTTCGCCGTTGATGTTATTAGGGTTTCCGAGAGAGAAAATATCTTGGGGTTGAAATCTGCGAAACAAGAGAGAAGATATAAAGCAAAAGAAACTTCGAGAGAAGTTGGCCCGACAAAATGTAATATGTCGAGCTAGACATTTTCTCGGCGAGTTTTTAAATGCCACTGGATTTTGTATAGAATTACGAGATTTACCATGGGATTCCCGCCTTTCTTCTTGCAATATCTACTCGGCGCTGTCGCTTACTTTTTTGTTTGGTTATACAATTTTGGATATATTCTTTCAAAACAATTAATTAATATGTTTTTTAAAAGACATCTTAATATACGATTAAGGAAAAGTATTATAAAAAATATTATTATTTTTTTAATGTTTTCGGTAAAAAATTATCTAAAACATTATTATTTCATCCGAAAATGTTATTATTTGATGTTTTTATCGGATTTGTTAGCATATCTGGTAAAGTGCTACCTAAAGCATTATTTTTTCTACTATAAATGTTAATATTGGACACTTTACCGGAAATATTAAAAAAAATTAATGTTTTAGATAAAAATAATAATGTTTTAGGTAATTTTTTACTGAAAATGTTAAAAAAATAATAACATTTTCGATAGCAACTTTCTTTAACCGTATATTAAAGTTTTCGTACGGTATAACTTCCGCTTTTTCAACCCTAAATTGTTGGATTATTTCCATTTATGTACAAAATATTAATTTTATTATTACTTTGTTAAGCAATGGAAATTGTTTTGATTTCCAAAAGGGAACATGTACTAGCACTTTCAACTATAATTTGATAGCATCAACCAACTTGCTTCAATAAAGAATCGTTATTATCTTTAAAGGTCATGAATTCGAATATCATCGACTGTAAGGGTAATTGAACGTTTATTATCAAATGATTGAGAATATTTATATCATATACTACTTTGTAATCACCTTTAGTTTAATAAAAAAAACTATAATTCAATAATGTACATTTTACAATTTTTTTTCAAATCCATCTTTTATTTTTCTAGAATTTGACATCTAATAGTTGGGATATTTTACCAATATAACATTATTTTTATAATTAATTATTAATAAATGAAGCTTTAATCCATAATTGTAGAGAACATCATACCATCACATTCCTTGAGACTTTCAACTTTTTCTTTTTGGTTTAGGGTTTTCACCAAATTCTTCATTATTTAGCAGAAGATCAGCACATGTTCAAAGTTGTGATCATCATCTAATGCTGTATCCTAAAGTTATCATGAATATATAAGTAAAATCAAATTTAGGATTTCTTATATTATGATGAAAATAAATAGTGTTAGATGATAGAAAATGAATCGAATTTTCTAGTAGTTTGGTCAATTTAGGGTTTCGAATTCCCAAACTCGCTTAAATCTCTAATTTTTATTTTAACGTAGAGACTATATTGAACACATGATAAATATTGAAAATTAAATTGTGAACTTTAAGTAGTTTAAGCATTAGTGGTGTAATTTTATTATTTTTCATTAGCTTGCAAATGAAATGGTAAAATTAAAAATTGAATATATAAACGAACAATAAATAAACCCTAAACGAACGTTAAACGAAAATATTTGTGACACTAAATTAACACGTTTGTGAACATATAAATGAACACGTTCGCGAACTATAAACAAACGAACACGGACAAGATATTAAAAATTTAAACGAATACGAACCATACATGAACACTTTAAAAAATAAACAAAGGAACACAAACATAACTGTGTTCGTTCAAGCTTGGTTCATTTACGCCCCTATTTATATTTTAACTACCAAACTCATTTTTAATATATTTTAGTTCTTATTCAAATTCTGAATCAGATCATATTTAATTTAAATTAATTTCTATTTACTGATTTCAAATTTAAAGACTTATATTAATTATTTAACTATTGAAAATTTATTTTTTAAAACATAAAAAAATCTAGACTGATTTACATAACGTTACATAGTAGACTTAATCAATGTAATATAACCCAGGCCCAATAAAATTTATATTTGATGAGTAAAAGAAGTTCTCAATGATGATTTTTTCTTAGCATCAATTAGCACAACGTTAAGCCCAATAAGATTTGGATCCAATAAGCCGAAAACAAGCTCAAGAATCCCTAAAATTCAAATTACAAACTTAACCAAAATAGTTTAAATTAATTTTTTTATAGTATAATATGATTACAAGATAATATATGTTTATAATATTGATTAATAATTAAGAACATACACAGTTCATAATCAAAATTCTATCGTCCTCCTTCATATAGGATTTTAATTGCCCCTAAAAACCTTAGGTTAGGGTCGAGATGAGAACCGAAACGGAGCCTTGGAATATTAATGTTTGCACCATGATCACCATATGAGCAGCGTAACACCCGTGAACCCAGAGACGATGATGGTGCATTCAGTGATGGCGTAATGATGGTGATGGAGTGGACGAGCAGGGCCGTGGCTGACCTGGCGTAAGGTGTGCGACCGCGTAGGGCCAAAAAAATAAGGCTCAAAAAAGTATATCTATAGTGACGTTTTTCCAATAAATGCCACTATAGGTGAATCTATTACTGCGGCTTTATTGAAAAACACCACTATAGATGGACCTATTGTGACTTTTATCAAAAAAACACCACTAATGTTATCCCGAAATCGAATATATTTTGAAAATAAAAACTCCTTTATAAGAATTTATACAGAATCCCGAAAATCTACCTACGATCCACAACCTAACCACGGCCCTATGGACGAGGATGAGGAAGAAGCCGCTAAAGGAAGGGAAGAAACAGAGGGATAGTGTAGGAAGATGCAACTTGAGGTTGTAGGAAATATTTGATGATAAGGACTATTTTTTGTGAGTTTGGGTGTGGGATTGAGTTATCGAGTTCTCGACCGAGAAACTCATCGGTGAGAGTTTGTATTTGGACACGTTTGAATCTGACTAGAAACTTAAATTTTTTACATTCAAATAAGACAGCCAAGAGAACAAATAACATCACAAAGATGTGAGAGAAGGAAACAACAGCCGAAGCATACAATGCAAGGTTGTACAAATGAAGCAAGAAAGAAGTCAAATTAGGACATACAACAAGAGTAACAATGAGTCCCAAATCATTTGGTTCCACGCGCAGAAGATGAGCATTTAGGCTTCTTCACAATCAGAACAGGGCACTTCACATTTTGCGCGCAGTGATTGCTCACACTCCCCAAGAAAGCCCTGTCATCAAACATTCGCCGAAAAGGTGATTCAAAAACCATAAATTTACCAAATTTGAGAAGGACGAAACCAGAATTAGACCAAAAATGGATGAGGACTACAACCCACCTCTTGATGAGGCCATAGCCATGGGTTCCCATAACAAGCACATCCGCTTTTATCTTGTCAGCAGCTTCACAAATCACGTCCCTTGGATCACCACTCTCTACCTTCACCTCTACCTTCACCTAATTACCCAAAAGGCATTCAACTCTCAAAACTATAGATTTTAATCTTAAAAAAAGTTTTTTTTTAGAATTTACAATATCAAAAATATGTAATGTTTCAATTTAAGACAAAATATGTCCCTAAAATAAGATCTTTATAACCAATCAAACATTAAAGATACTTTTACCTAAAATACTATAAATAAAAAATATGATTAAAATGATCATTTGATAAACGTTGAACACTAATTTTGATATTATACCTATACCAGAAACTCACCTCATGATCAGCTTGCTCTCTGCATATCCTTTTGGCCTTCTCGATGACACAAGCCGCCACATCGTTGCTGTATTTGTCCATGGTGGCCAGTATATCAGCAGAAAACAAATACCCTGAAACGATAACCACAACAAAAATCACAAAACCGATACTGGAAACCCTAAACCCTAAACATTTAAGGGGGAAATACCAGTGCCATCTAGCGAAGAATACACCGCTCGCGGTGGTTTAGCGTAAAGGAGGAGAAGGGTATCTTTTGGACTTTGAAGTACCAAGTTCTTGAGGCACCATGAGAGAGCGTACATGCTCTCTTCGCCTTCATCCACGGCCACCAGGATCTTGCGGTTCTTCGCCACGACTTGATCGTCATCCGCCATTGAACTCTACCGAGTTTCTGGAAATTAAACAGTTGATGAAAGGATAAAACTTTTGAACGAAGTTGAGATTTTGATGGTGAGTTGTGGAGAGTGTGCAATGGATTTATAGAAGGCGAGTGTGTTCTGTTTCGGGAGGGGAAATCTGTGGATTTTGGGTCGTTGGATTTGCTGGTTTTGAAAGACAGTGGGACAGTTTTTGCCTTGGTTTGACTCGAATGTGTATATCTTGTTCTTGTCTGTATTTTCCATTTTTTAATATGCTTTGATTACCTCAACATGTTATGTTATATGTTGAGAGGAACACGTGTTAGTACATGTAAGATTTGAGATTTCATTCCAAATCAAATATCCGTATCCATATATTAAATAATGATACGTGACTTGATTGATATTATTTAAATAGTTAAAAGATTAAATTCATAAAATTAAAAATCGATGATCAGATTAGATTTCTCTTTTAATTAAATGACCATTCATGTAGTTTATCCTAAACTTTTTATAATCTTTATTTATACCATATATATTTTGCTTGATGACCAAAGTTGTATATTTAAATTCATAATTGACATAATACTTAAAAATGAAAAAACAAGTATCATTGAGAACTCATTGAGTGACTCATGATAGAGAATATTATTACTCTTAGAGAACTTGAATTGAAATAATTATAAGGTGAGTACACGTTTGTCAATATGTTAAGAGAGTTTCGAAAATGATACTATCTTACAATCATTTCATATACTAATAACGGTGATTAAGATATAATTAAAATAATAATATTTTTACATGAAATGGATTTTAAATGCAAATAATTGTACACATATTAGTGTCAACTTTATCAATTTACCTCTATTGTAAAAGTACATGGATGAAGAGGGACTTATTTGCTCACTATATGATAGTAGAGGGACTACTTAGACACTTCCACCAATATTTGGCTTTTGACCCTTGGTTAAATATTTAATATTGGGACGATTCGTTAAAACCAAAGTGCAAGGATTATGTTTTCTTTGATTCAAATCATATAAATAATTCCTTTCTAGAAAGAAGGGCATGTTTTTTTTTCTAGAGAGTGGATAATAGATTTATAATCTAGTTTTATGGCTTTATACTTTGAGTGATTCGGATAATGATTATACTTTTAATTTTAGTTAATTAATTAACCAAATATTAATAAATATATAAATAATTAATCATAAATTTAAGGATAGATTACGAATTTAGTTATCCACTTATTATCGCGGTTCTGTTTTGATCGTTCAACTATTGTTTTTAAAATCATACTTAATATTATATTTTAGTCTCTCTTCAGTCATCCGCCGTTAAAAGAATTAATGGTGATACTGACGTATCATCGTAAGGTAATGTCATGTCATCACTGAAAAGATAAAAAATTGTAACGTCAGTAGTTCTGTTTATTTTTTAACAGCGAGTCAGCGAGTGACCAAAATATAATGTTAGATATGATTTTAAAAAATAAAAAAGTTGAAATACTAAAAGAAAACCAGGAGAATAGGTGGGTATGCAGTCTACCCTGAAATTAGTTTAGGGTAACCTATATGATTACCCTCCTATTACTTAGTCTCTGTTTTGCTCACTCAATTATTTTTTTAAAATGATACTTAATGTTACATTTAAGTTCTACATAGGTCACCTACTATTAAAAAACTAACATTGATGCTAACCTGATATTATCTTATGATGACATGCAACATCAGTGTTAATTTTTAACAATGGGTGACCAAAACAGAATCAAAATGTAATATTAGGTATGATTTTGAAAAAAATAACTGAGTGACCAAAACAGAAACTAAATAATAAGTAGGTGATGAAATAAGTAGTTTACCCTTTAATTTATTAGTACTTAAATTGGGCTTGAACTTCTTATCTATAATAGACATTGAATGTTGTTAGAAAACAAAAGTCCATCAAGGGAGAAACAGGCCGAATTTACACTATGATCAAAAATTAAAAATCCATTAATTTCCAGAATTTGAACGGCCCAGATTTAATCCAGTGAGTCCAAACTCGGATCAAGTTACCCGGTCAAAACTCACCAACTCATCCTCTTTTTTATAGCCCCCATCACCCATCCACGCGCACTCTCTTTTCAAAAAAGGCAAATTGATTTTTAATACTAAGATTCAAATTTTCTTTTTGTGAAGGAATTGAATCATGTTTTTCTTCGATTGGTTCTATGGGATCCTTGCTTCCCTGGGTTTATGGCAAAAAGAGGCCAAGATCTTGTTTTTAGGGCTTGATAATGCCGGCAAAACAACGCTGCTTCATATGCTCAAAGATGAGGTAATTTTTTGGTAAATGAATGGCAGTAAATTCACATTAATGTTCTGTTTGGGTGATTAGATTTGTGTTATATTGTTGTGTTTTTTTTTCTATAAGTTCTATTACTTCTGATCTAAATTGATTCAGAATGCTAATTATTAACCTTTTATTGAAAGGTAATTAAGGTTATGGAGCTTTTCTCTCTCTTTTACTATTGATGGAGTAGAGAATAATCCTTTTAGTTGGAAATGTTTTTAATTGTTATTTATCGGAAAAAAAAGTAAACAATGATATGGGATGGTTGATTGCCTTTTTTTGAGTAATGAAGTGATTGAGATCTGATCTTTAATGGATGTGGGTAATGGTTTTTGGCAGAGATTAGTTCAGCATCAGCCAACACAGCATCCCACATCGGAGGAATTGAGTATTGGGAAAATCAAGTTCAAGGCTTTTGATTTGGGAGGCCATCAGATTGCTCGAAGAGTTTGGAAAGATTACTACGCCAAGGTAACATTTCGTCTATGTTGCTCCGATTCTCCATTGAAGTAACCGTGTCTGATGCTAGTATGAATATCCGGCACGCGAATGTGAGCACATGACCTATAAATATATGGAATGACCAAATTCATGTTCGATACTAGCATATTCAGCACTAACACTTTAGTCTTAATATCATAGCATTTCTTTTACCTGAAAATCCATGTGATTATGTTCAGTTTTCAGACAAAAACTATGCCCTCTTTCGATGTTTTAGCCCTCTTTGACATGTTTTTTAAAAGTATTATTCAGGCTGTGGAGAATAGATTACATTATTATAACTGGTGTCTTTTATGATTATGAATTGAAGATTAGGTGATAAGTCCTAAAAGCATTAGCTGTTGTTCATCGAATTCGTCTAGTAGGTCACTTTTATTTTGATATTCCACTTGAGAATTTGAATGATTGCAAGAGCTTATTGTCAGTCTTTTTCCGAACGTGCCTCTATAATCCCAGATAATAATTCTTGTGATTATCTGATTCATGAGGGGCAAAGAATAAGGATGGGGAGTTCGCTGATAGTGCCTTTAATTTTGCAAAAGGTGCTTTAATAGTACCTCACCACACACTATTTAGTTGCACTCTCTGTCAAGATTACATTGTTGGAAGAAATCAATAACTATCTTCTATTGTTGAAAACAAAATGGAGTTTTCTCTTTTTATTTCAGTCTTCAGTTATATATACTCACTCTGATTCTTTTTTCCTTGGCTTGTTACGTCTGGTTTTGGTCTAGCGCACTAAGAGGCCCCTGCAAGTTTTCAGAGGCTCAGCTTTTAGCAGTTTCATGTTATGAAGGAGATCTTGATCACCAAAGCGCTTAGTATTTTCTTTTTAATGAAGAGCATAATGAAAGTAATATGAATTCTTTTTTTAGGTGGATGCGGTTGTGTACCTGGTGGATGCTTATGACAAGGAAAGGTTTGCCGAGTCGAAAAGGGAGTTGGATGCGCTTCTCTCCGATGAATCCTTAGCTAATGTTCCGTTCCTCATCTTGGGCAACAAGATTGATATACCATATGCTGCCTCGGAAGATGAGCTGCGGTATCACCTTGGCTTGACCAATTTTACCACAGGGAAGGGTAAGGTCAATTTGGGAGACTCAAACGTTCGTCCCCTCGAGGTATTCATGTGTAGCATTGTTCGTAAAATGGGTTATGGAGATGGTTTCAAGTGGGTTTCTCAGTACATTAAGTAGGTAGCTGCACAGGGAATTTAGGCATGCTTTTTTTCTTAATGTTATTTTTATACTAAATTGAATTGGATTGAACACGTTCAGAAATCTTTGTTACAGGTGTTTCAAACCCCCCCGGTACCCTACTTTCTCCTCTTCTCTAGTCCCTCTTGTTTTCTTTCCTTCCATTTTTGTTCCAATCGGTAAACTTCGTTCTGTACAAGACAATGAGATATAGAGATGTAATTGATGATTTATTCTGATTGATGATTTGGGACCAAATGTTAATTTACGTAGTATTGATTTTGTTAACTTAAAATTTCTCTTTGTTGCCTTGTCATACTTCCAGTAATTAACAAATGATTAACGTTCTAAAATAAGATTTTTTTACATGAAATGAAACGTTGGGGCCAAATGTTCCAGAAAAAAAAATAAGGGTTAAATTGACTACTAATTCAAGCATTAGAAAAATTTTTACTCCAAAATGAAACATTGGGTCCAATATGTTGAAAGAAAAAAGAACTGGAGTAAAAATGATCATTTTGATAAATGTTGGGGCGTTAATTGACATTATGCCTTTCGGATTTTGTGCATGTTGATTGAATATCTAAATCACTCTACCTAACACAAAATTACAACCTTTATACTCCCAGTTTTCAACACCAAATGCTGCAAATGCAAGTACAACGTTGGTGACTAGTTTCACCAACTTAAACTCCATTTTACTCATTTTTTAACTCCTAGTCACCCCCAGGGCAAGCTACCAACCCACTTCTTACTCAAATCCAGGTGGTCTACCCTTTTGGCTTCTTCCCTTTTGTTCTTTTGGCTCACAAATCCCTCCAATATCAAATAAAACCATCTTCTCCTCCAAGCTATTCGGTCACAGATACTACATCAACAATGGCAGCTCCTACATCAAGTCTCAAGCGTTTCATCTCTTTCAACTTATTAATCATCATCGCCATATTCTGCTGCAATCTTCGCTCAACGAACGCACAGAAGTTCCCCGCAGAGTCCCTTGCCAATGCTTTCTTCTGTTTCAACAACAAATATGTGAGAATCTAACTTCTGCATGTGTACTATTATTGTTTACTTGTAACATAGTTTTTATGATATACAGATTTATACTGGCTGCGATGAAGCTTATAGATTGAACGAGAGTGGTAACCTCAATGTACCTCGTGAAGCTACCGACGTCTTCTGCAATGGCCCTTGCTTGGCTGAGACACGGTTGGTGCTTCAATGCGTTGACGATGTTTTATCAGGCTTCGTATTTTATAACAAAGCCACCGTTCGAGACATCACAAATGTACTCCGTGCTGGTTGCAGCTACACAAGCACAAGAGGTATAGATTTGATTGGTGCCTGTGCTTTTTTTTTAATTGTTATTCTTCCCTTTGTGCAAGTTTTTTTCATCTTTTTGTCAGGGAATTTCGGTGTGGGGGATTATTTTCAGGGAGGAATAAGCGATGCATCGAGATTGGGCGAGTCCTCTATGATCAGCTTGTCTACTTTAACACTGATTGTTGTAATTTATGTTTTGATCTTATAGCTAGTTTATGGCTGTATCGGCATTGAAAGACATGTATTATTTCATATATGTGTAGGGTTCGATTACATCTTTGGATTTTACCTTGTGATTTATGGATTTAAACTCTGTTTATTGTTATTACATGCGAATCTTTAGTCCCACAAACCTCAAACATGTGAATATAAGATTTGTGCAAATCTTCATGAATGCGGATCCTACCCTGCGAATATCCAGTAGTGATCACGTGTTAACCTCTTACTATCCGTGCAACAACTCTCGATTGATACCTATCTATAGCATTATAAAGAGCCATGCAAAGGGGGGGGGGGTTCGATTCTTCTTCGGGGGACGCATTCTTTTCTACCATCAACTAGGCTCTTTCCACCAAAATCTCCAAGAACCACCACCACAACTACCCTCTCACCACCCTATACAGTTGTTGTCTACTTTACCGATCAACATTTATGTTGTTGGAAATACACAGGGGGGATGACGGATACTTATGAAAGACAAGTCTACCGATACTTAAGAGAAGAAAAAAAGATGATACATAAACAATCACCAGACTTTTTTACTCTCCCATGTGAGATTCAATTGCATTCATAGCTTTCTAAGATAAATCTTGGCATACGATCACTCGGCAATGCGGAAAATACGATCTCGCATCCCGTTAACGGCATCGGATATTCCCACAGTTTCCCAAGAAAAATTTTACAGTATGCTAATTGAGTGATAGTTATCTTTTTCAATACCTTTCCATTATGCAGAAGGTATAAAATCATTCCAGCTACATAGTCTGTAGGATTAAGGTGAACTGGTGCAATTGCAACGAGTTCTACCGTTTCAAGGTGTGACACCAAACACGTTGGGATCGATTCCAGATGTCTCCAGGTCAATGGTACATAGAATAAGTGACCTGAGGAAGATGATGGACAAAATTTCAAAATGAACTTAACCTCATCAAAGATTAAATGCTTCAAACGAGGTGAATGTTGAAGAACGGAAGAAAGAAAACGCCTATCTTCGCAACTTCCTATTTTCAAATGGATCAAATTGCAGAACTCAGGTAAATTATCAAGCTCTTCCTTAACCATCTGCAACACCCCCATAGATTAAATTAGTAATGATATTTGTATCATGTACGACCAGTAGGGGTAAGTATTCGATTGAGTCGAGTAGAGTTAGTTAAGTTGACGAGTCCTATCTTATAACTTAAACTTTATTTACAATTTATTTGGGTCGAGTTGAGTGTTTGTTTAAATTTAATTGTAAATATTTATAATGTTATGGTACTAATTTATTCCAATTTAAACATATATAAAAACTACAAGAGCCTTCATATTGTACTCGACGTTTCCATCTTAGAATCTTTAATCCAAAGTGATAAGAGATCTTCAAAATTAAAATACCTTATCAAAGATTACTGTTACATATACATATATATTCCTAATACAATAAAACATTACAGTTACAGGTCGACAGAACATTTCGACGTAGTTGCCTCATCCATGGCGTTCTTCTCAGTATGATCTTCAGTCGACATTTGGAGAGAAAACAGAAAAGGTTTGGGAGGCAACTCAAGCTGTTCAACTCCATTTTCAAGCATTTCCAACACTTTGTTCATCGAAGGACGGTTAATGGGTTTCATTTGTATGCACCAAAATGAAGCCATTATCATTTTCCTCGCAATCTGTTCATCAACTTCAGTCACATCTCCTAACCCCATGCTCTCCCCTTGATCAAATCGATCATATATCCATGATGGAAAATAAATTTGACTCAGATGTTCAACCGATACAAACATCAGCTTTGTATGAGATGCCTCCAATGTTTTTGTAGAACAACTCAGGAGCAATGTATCCTAATGTACCACGAGCTGCTGTGAGAGAGATGATACTGTCGTCCACTGAATATAGTTTTGAAAGCCCAAAATCAGATACTTTAGGGACAAAGTTTTCATCCAGAAGAATGTTGTGTGGTTTTATGTCGAAATGTAGAATCTGCATTTGGCATCCCTTGTGCAAGTAGTCGATCCCTCGAGCCACACCGAGTGCAATTTCCAACAGGTTTGGCCAACTTAAACTGCAAGTTTCCTTTGAAAATATGATTTTGTCTAAAGACCCATTCACCATGAAATCATATACAAGAGCTTGTTTCGATCCCTCTACACAAAATCCAATGAGTTGCACTACGTTCATGTGATGAATCCTTCCGATTGTGGCAACTTCACTGATGGAATCTTCTCCATTTGCCTAGCATTTTTACTGCAACCAACCGACCACTACGAAGCTTTCCTTTGAATACAGAACCGAACCCTCCTTGGCCTAATTTTACTTTGAAACCTTCTGTCATTCTTTTTATTTCGTGGTAAGAATATCGAATAGGCATGAAATTATTTTGACTTTGAAGAAAGTTTTCAATTGTGTCATCCATTGATAAATGTCTTCTCCTACACTTGTGTGTAACAAGTGCAATCAAACAACATATTCCCAGCAAAGTTCTTGCTAATAGTATGCCTGTTTCCCCATGAAAATCACATACACAAATTTTTATCGTTGAACTATATATATATGCTTAGTATAAAGTTGAGAAAGTAAGAATCACCTGATATTGCAAGACAAATAAGGTAGGTTACTGTAAAAACACCAGTTGATCAATAATTGCATACTTGAATACAGAGCCTAAAGCAAAGGTAAACCCATTAAAACAAAATACATTATCAAATCTAAAAACTAACCTTTTCCAAAAATTTGGCTGAAGATTCCCGGAAGAATAAAGGCCAGATTGTTTTGTATATATACATAAGCCGGAGCTACCAGAATTTCCACCAGCAGTAGCAGTCTATTATACCCAAAAAAGCAACGAATCCATTAATAAGACCGTGAAAATATATGAAAGAATCTAAAGAACGAATTCTAGAAAACTCTTACACTTTGAGAATCGGGTTTGAAGGCCAAAAACTGTCGGGTTTATACCATGATCTGCTTAGTATCTTGTAAAACAACTGGTATCATGAGCTTTTGGTTGTGAATTTTGCCAATTTTTCTGCGAGGTTACTATTCACGTGAATAGTAAATTTCGTGAATAGTGAAATTTTGTCGGCGATACGAATTTGTCGACGGAGGTGTTCAAATACACGGCGGTTCGCAGAAATTGTCAAAAACGATTCAAAGAAGCCAGATTCGAGTGGGAGCGATGGCTGCAGACGAAGGGAAGGTGAAAATTGAAAAGTTCGATGGTGCGGACTTTGGCTTTTGGAAGATGCAGATCGAAGATTTTCTGTACCAGAAAAATCTATATCAACCCCTCTCAGGAAAGCAACCAGAGGGCATGAAGGATGAAGATTGAGCTCTTCTCGACAGACAAGCCCTCGGAGTTATCCGATTGACGTTATCCCGCAATGTTGCTTTCAACATAGCAAAGGAAAAGACCACGGCGGGTCTTATGGCGGCTCTCTCCAGTATGTATGAGAAGCCATCGGCCTCAAACAAAGTTCATTTGATGAGGCGATTATTCAATTTGCGGATGACGGAAGGGGCATCAGTGGCACAACACCTAAATGAACTCAACACAATCACAACCCAGTTGAGTTCAGTGGAAATTGAGTTCGATGATGAAGTTCGAGCTTTAATTCTCTTATCATCTCTACCAGACAGTTGGAATGCTACTGTTACAACAGTCAGCAGCTCGTCAGGAAACAACAAATTGAAATTCGGCGATGTTCGGGATCTGGTATTGAGTGAAGAAATTCGACGGAGAGAATCGGGTGAAGCATCAACCTCCTCAGCCTTGCACACGTAGTCTAGAGGAAGAACTTCAGAAAGATATTCAAATCGTGGCAGATCAAAATCTAGACGAGAAAAATCCAGAACGGGAAAGAAAGATTTTACATGTTATAATTGTGGCAAGAAAGGTCACTTTAAAAGAGATTGTCGAGCACTGAAGAAAGATACCAGTGCACAAGAATCTGCCAACGTGACAGAGGAGACAGGTGATGCCATGATTCTAAGCGTCAACAGTCCGATTGAATCATGGATCTTGGATTCAGGGGCATCTTTCCACTCCACCCCATGCCAAGAAATCATGGAGAACTATGTCAGTGGTGATTTTGGGAAGGTTCATCTTGCTGATGATGAAACCTTGAAGATCGTCGGAAAAGGAGATATCCGACTAAAGCTGCCAAACCAGACCACCTGGAAGCTGACAGGAGTGAGACATATTCCTGGCCTCAAAAGAAATCTGATTTCTGTTGGACAGCTTGATGGAGAAGGATACAATACAACCTTTTCAGGATGTGAATGGAAGATTACAAAAGGAGCACTCATCATTGCTCGTGGTAAGAAGACTGGTACTCTCTCTATGTAACCTCAAACTTAGAGGATATCATTGCTGCAGTAGATGCTGATGGAAAATCAAACCTATGGCACCAAAGGCTTGGCCATATGAGCGAGAAAGGAATGAAGATACTTCTGTCAAAAGGGAAGCTGCCGGATCTAAAGAATGTAGATGTCGGACTATGCGAGGATTGCATCTTTGGCAAACAAAAGAAAGTCAGCTTTACAAAGATTGGCAAAACACCCAAGGCAGAAATGTTAGAATTGGTTCATACTGATGTATGGGGACCATCCCCAGTTCCATCTCTTGCAGGCTCACTATATTATGTCACATTCATCGATGATTCAACAAGGAAGGTGTGGGTTTATTTTCTGAAGAAGAAATCAGAAGTCTTTGATACCTTCAGAAAATGGAAGGCCATGGTGGAAAATGAGACTGGTTTGAAAGTCAAGCGGTTGAGGTCTGACAATGGAGAAGAGTACAGAGAGACAGTAGATTCAGAGATTTTTGCGCAAACAATGGGATCAAGATGGAGACAACAGTTCCCATAACACCGCAGCAGAATGGCGTAGCAGAGCGCATGAACAAAACTCTGAATGAACGTGCTAGAAGCATGAGGATACATGCCGGATTGCCCAAATTTCTATGGGCTGAAGCTATCAACACTGCATCTTACCTGATCAACCGTGGACCCTCAGTTCCTTTGGATGGCGGAATACCAGA